AAGATTATTCAACCCTGTTCACATGTGACGTGACGTATTCACCTAATGGCTAACTCCCATTACTCAGAGTCCACAAAGCACAAAGCAAGTAGCATTCAGACAGAAGGGAACAATCTCAATCAAATCCGTTCTCATAGGGAGAAACTGCACTAGCATACGATGCTAAACTCATACTATCAAGCATAACCTAAACAGGTGATCCTACTGCTGTCTACTCAATACTAGCATGTAATTCATATAAGTTGTAACACATAAAGCAGGCACATAAGGAATCACTCCTAGATCCTTAGTCCTATTCTAGCATGTTGTTCTACTGAAACTGATAAACATAACATAAACTTGTATGGGTACTTTGGGGAATACTTACTTGAGCTCAGCCAGTCGCACACATCACACACTTTGTGCTTTCTCAAAACTCTTTACTTAACTTTGGGAAAAAAAATTCTTTTTCAAAATCTTTTAATCCCTCGATTTGAGTTCAGACACCCTCGAAGGTGTGTCCGAATCCCTCAAATCAGGGCTCTGATACCAACTTGTAACATCCCAAAATACGAGCCAAAAATTTCATTTTTAATTAGGTGATTTGCAAAACGTTTGTAACAAAATATCATTCGACCATATCATTTAATAAAACATGTCTCGTGTCTATAAACCAAAACATAAATCATAATAATATCAAAGTACAAATCCCAGAATGTCTCATAGTGCGGAAAAACAAGAGCGTGTGTGATATGTCGCGATCGCGCCAGCTCCTTCCCCCTGGCTGAAGAGGTACTTGAAACAACAACTAAAAACCGTAAGCACAAAGCTTAGTGAGTTTCCCCACCGTACCGCGTACCAAATAACCACATAACATACATATAATGTCAAAATGGTCCTACCCTCCGGTGTTTCATGTCCGGCTAATGTATGTACATAGTGGTTGAAAAATATTTCTTAACACTTATAAAACAATATCGCTCATAAATAGTCGTGATAAAAATTAGACTAAAATCTAGTGATAATAATACTAGGTTTCGTCGAAGGTAAATAGAATTGTTAGAAGCAAAGCTCATATATATGAAGTATTTAACATAAATTACATGCTATGTGTGCATATTATCTGTATTCTTTGATATCTATGCTGGATGAACGATTTATAAAAATTTTAAATGATTTAAATTGTATATGTGTTTTATATCTACGAAAATATTAAGTAAAGAATGGATAGATGAAATAGTTGATGTGTGATAAAATGATGAGAGGCCTCGATGTTGACGATGATCCAATCATCTAGAGGATTATAGATGACAACCACTGACTATTCTAGACAATCTAGTGAAACGCTGGCTGGCTCGCAACCTGTAGGTATTTGTGAACAATGTGTTCACCGGTGTACTCCATCCCCTTAATGGTTGCCTTATTGACATATATTTATGAGGAATCCCCTAAACAGTATTGTCATCCCGATGATGATCCTTTGGCTTGGTCCCTTACTTAAACGCTTTAGGGACATGAAGTGAGAATAACGGGATCGGGTTCATTGATGGGATGAAATTCATAAACTTAATTATTGTGGGTTGAAAACTCTATGTGCTCACCAGGCTCCCAAGCCTAACCCACTTAGTTTCTTGTATACACATTGTGGCAGAAGAGCATATATGTGATGATCTAATGAAGGATTATGAATTATAGGCCAATAGAAATAAATAGATGTTGTAAGGCCTCTATTGTTTCTGTTTATGCTTTTCATATGTATTGAAAATGACATCCCGAGGTTTTTAATATAAGGAAAAATACATTTCTTCGGAAATGCTTTGATAAATTCTTTATCATACTTTTGGGAACAAATTTAGCAACATATTTTTTTAAAAAGATACCCTGGTTTTCAAATAAAGTATACATAAATTGATCTTTTCTATCCGTGTAATTGAGAATGTCACAGTGGAAGAGGGGGGTTTGTAGGCATTCTAGCAGGAGAATTGGTGGAGGGTGGGTGGATTGATGGGTCCCATTAAATTAACCATATTATTAAATCAGAAAACAAAAATAGTGACATTAGATTAAAAAGGGTATAACAATAATTTTATCTTTGTTAGAGATCAAATGTGCAACAAAATTACATTTTAAGTGTCGTTTGAGTTAAAAATAAAAAGTTAGAGACCAAAAAATTAGCTCAAACCATAGGGACTATTCAAATAATTTACTCTTTAATTTATTGTGATTGCTTAATAAAAAAAATGTATATGTGTTTTAGTTTGGATTCTTTGGTACCTATAATTGAGTTTACATGATATGAATTACCAATCTGGTTATGTATGCCTGAATCATAATTGTTCATCACCGTTAACAATTGTGATTGTTGAGTTTACATGATATGAATGACCAATCTAATTATATAGGCTTGAATAATAATTGTTCATGACCATTAACAATTATGATTAGTGATTGATAAGATCCTAATGTTAGGTTATAAAGTAATGAACTTAAACATGTGTGATTTGCATTAGACAACAATTTTGTGCATCAATTGATTATCATGACCATTTAAAATGAACTATTAGATTAATTGCTACATAATATGAACTTAAAGAATGATTTAGGGTATGCTAGTTTACATGAACACTATGACTAAATGTCCATATATCATGAGGATTAGCGAACGAACCCATAAATCTAATCAACTGAGGAATTAGTGAACAATGACCAATATACATTACAATTTGTATGAATCAACCATAATTGAAGGGATAATTAAGTCTAAGTGGAAGTACTTGTTATCATTCTTTTTTTAACAAATTTTGGTCTCTGGTAGTTTGTTTCAAAATTCTGTTTTCTTTTGTTTGCATTTGTAAAGCCAATTTCCTATTCTTTTTACTCATTTTTGATTGACTAGTAGTTAAATATTCTTAATTGATTGATTCCCGATCCCCAAGTGTTCGACAACCTGTACTTACCACCCTGCCTGTACTACTATAGGATTAGGTTAGCTGTGTGATAGTCACTAGTTGTGGTAATTCCTTTTATAAATTTAAAACCTTATTAAATTACATCGATGTTTTGTATTGATCTAAACACATCAATTTGACACCCTTACCACACATGAACACCACTTAAAAAGAAGAGTAAACATGTTGTGGTGTGGCTTCGGCTACAATCCATCACATAAGAAAGAGAGGAATATTTTTTCTTTCTCTATCTTCTTCGCCTTTCTATCACTTTTTTCTCTCGTTCTTTGCGCATAAACACCATTTTAAACAAGTTGGTAGTTTTAGACTTGCACAAAAAGACAGGTTTCTGACCGGAATAAAAAAAAAAGACCGAGACCGTAGACCGATCCTAAAAAAGACCGTCACGGACCGATCCGAAAAAGACCAGACCGTTCCAAAATTGGCCCTAAAAAAGACCGGAACGGTCTGAGACCAAATGAGACCAATCCAAAAAAAAAAAGACCAAAACCAAACTTTATAAATATATAATTTTTGTGTTAATTATACAATTTTTAATCACAAACTATCTAATTTATTTCGTTTTTTCTTTTAGTAAGGTTAAATATCATTTTAATGATTCTTAATTTATCATTTTGGTGATAATCTCATATTTGTTAATGGAAAAAACTCGAAACCAAAATAAAAGAATCAAAAGATACCGAAACCGAACAAAAAAAACGTAAATCGAATCGAGAAAAACCGCACGTAAGGACCAAGAGACGAGACCGAAAGGACCGGTCCTAAAAAAGATGGGATCGGAAAAAGACTGAAAGAAGCCGGTCCAAAAAATGACTGGACCGTTCCGAAACCGACCTCAAAAATACCGAAACGTTTCAAGACCAACCCAAGACGGTCACGGACTGCCAATGTGCAGCTCTAGGTAGTGATAGTATGAAATTGTTTTGTGATGCCGGCCACATTTATACTTGATGGCCTAAATGAAGAGCGACAATTTTTGTTTTTTGAGGTCAAAATCCATATTCTCTTGCGATCCAAACAACACGTAACATCTCGAATCACTACAAGAAATTTTTGATTTAACTATGGAAAAATTCCGTAGCAAAATGATGTAATTGCGTAGCTAAACCTAAATAACTACGGAAGTTGCTATGGAATTTGCCAATGAGATTCCATAGTAAGATTTCTTGTAGCAAAATGTTTAACTACAAAATTATAGTTCCGTAGCAATTTTGCTATGGCCGTTGCTAGGACGTCTATCCGTAGCATTTCAACTACAACACGCTTCCATCAAAATTCCGTAACAATGAGTTCCGTAGCAAATTCCGTAGCCATTTGGTCCGTAGCAAATTCCGTAGCCATTTGGTCCGTAGCAAATTCCGTAGCCATTTGGTCCATAGCAAATTCCATAGCTAATTGTTCCGTAGAAAATTCCATAGCCATTTGGTCCATAGCAAATTCCGTAACTAATTGTTCCGTAGCAAATTTTGTAGCCATTCTTTCCGAAACAAATTCCGTACCATTCATTCCGTAGCAAATTCCGTAACAACTTTTTTGTAGTCAGTTCCATAACAATCGTTCAATACCATTTTTTCTATAAAATTCGGTTATTCAATTTGACTTATTATATCAATTTACAAAAATACAATTAATATAAAACCAAAAATAACAAAGTATTTCTATAGAAACTAAAAGAAATATCCAATACATCAAAAGATACATATTTCAAAATCAAAAGTCACTACAAATTTAACGTAAAACATTATCGGATACATAATATTCTATCATTGTTTAATAAAAGTTTTGACTTGTTCACTCAATGTGTAAATGACATTCATTGCTTGTGCAAGTTGTTGTTCAAACTTTGCTTGAACATCCACATTTTTCTGCTGAAACTCTGAGCATCCTCATATTTTTGCTGAACATCCTCATATTTTTGTTGAATATCCTCATATTGTTCGCGTTGTGTGTCAACTAACTTCTTCAAATTCTCAATCTCGACTTTTGTCTCGGCATTATTATCCTCGTATTGTTCGCGATGCATTTCAGAAGATCCTTTACTAAAAATATCAATCAAATGAATATCTAAAATTTTTAAAGCACACAACAAAGAAAATGAATATTATTTTTTAACTTTTAATGCTTTTGTTATTCGATCAATCTTGTAAATTTGCATACCTTTGCAAGATTCCCTAAAGATGCTATTGGGAGGAAATATGCAGGATTGAGAGGCGTAGTGAGATCAAAGATGCTGCATATCACATTAAAACACATATGCAGGATAGAGAGGTGTAGTGAGATCAAAGATGCTACATATCACATTAAAACACAGGGGAAAAAATTAATTAAATTTAAAAAAAAAAAAAAAAAAAAAAAAAAAACTTGGTATTAAGTGGATAACAGAAAAAATCCATTAGTCACCTTCCAGCACTTCCAATGAAGTACATGCGCCATTGTTTTGGATCATCATCAAAAGATTTCCAAATCTTTCACCTGTGAAAGGCAAATCCATCATGGTTAATGCACAAATTTGGTGTTTTTGTATCCATTTATGAGATTTTGAAGAAAACCTACCAATGAAAAAACGTCCAATGGCACCAATTCCATCTTTTGACATCCATCTACATGTTTTTAGTAAATATGTTAAAGTTATATAATCATATCTTTAACCCTAAAAAGAAATTCTTGCAATTATACTATTATAGTAGTATTAAGTTATATAGAAAATTACCTGATGGCAGCAGCAGAAGCTGCAGCTGTGGTTCCAGAAGAATAGTCTAAACCAACTGCCTGTATTATATAAATTCACAGAATTTTATAAAAAAAAAACGATAATCAAAGAACATTATAATCTATAATTCTATATTCTATCCTTTACAAAATCTATGATTCAGCCTTAAGTACTAGACAATGACATAAAACAAAAAGATCATGATAATTACAAAAGAATAAAAAGAGATGACTGAAATGAAATCAAAGGGAATAAGAAGTAGAGGAAATTAGATTAGGGAATAAAAATGTTTGTTTGCTAAGAAAAAGAAAGAAAGAAATAAGAATTAGAAAAAAGGTAGCAACTTAGATTGATACCCAATCAGAAGTACTGGCTTGAGTTAGATTGACATGCCTTTATAAGACTTGAAGTGATCAATGTGTGACAAATCCATCCAGTGACATTGGTTGGAAACTGTAACAACATGTATTCCAAGTAATCATATGAAACAAATCCTGATTTTGAAAAAAAAACAATTAGAGAAGAAAAATATTAGAGATACCATATGAGGTGAAAATGAAAAAGGAACAAACCAGGGAAGCCAACAGGAAGAACAAAATCTTTAACTATATCAAGAAGCCATGGCAATTCTTTTGAAGAATATCCATTAGATTTGGTGTCATCTTCAAGAAATGTTGTTAGGTGAAACTTGTTATCCAGTATATACCTGACAAAAGGAATTTGAACAACATATTAGGTTGGAATCTACAATGTAGAGTGATTGTTTTACCCTTTTCTCAGCGTCAAGCTAGGACGATGTTGAATTAGGGTCTCAAAAGCTCATAAGAGCTCAGAGGAAGAGACTTCAAAGAAAGAAACTCAAAGAAGATGCTTCCCACCTCATGCAGATTATCGGACCGGAATTGCCTCCTACAGGGGATGATCAAATTGATGATGAAGTTAATAATGTTCACGAACAGTCGGAAGGTGTTCGACGAATTGTCACAGAGGGATTGGAGAGGGGAAATAATCGTAAGACCTCTGAATCCCTGTGCAGCTTCATCCAATTCTTTGCGGATTTAACGTGCTAAAGAGAAAAATCGAGAAACATAAACAAATGAGGAATGAAGAGAGAAGAATGTTACCTGGTAGGGATGAAGACGATCGAGAAAAATCGACCGGTTAACGGAGCAGCAGTGAACAAACAAAGCAAGTCAAACGATGATGAAGACGATCGAGATAAACCGTTTGTGGAATGAGGAATGAGATCGGCGATTGAAAATATGAGTAAATTACAGTTATGGTCCCTGTGGTTATCCAATACAAAACGAAAGGCATCGATTTCCCTCACGCACCTTTCGAAAAAATCAATGGAGTTGACCCAGTCGATTCCAAAGGCGGGTCTATTTCGGTGCTTCTCGCCGCAATTGGAATCCAGGTGTCCGGTGCATCAAGGAATGTGCGAAGTGGAGGTGAATTTTTGTTTAGTGGAAGCGAATGTGGTGGCGCCGCTGGTGTCGCTGTTGGGGGATTCCGATTCCGATGTTTGTGAAGCGTCTTGGGATGTGTTGTTGACTTTAATTGAAGCTGAAAGGTTAGCGTTTGGGTGTAAAGTACTGGGCGAAGCTAATGCGATACCTCAAATTATAAAAATGCTAAATAGCAACAATTCGAATTTGCAAGAAAAGGTATTGAATGAGTTAGAGAGGGTTTTTATGTTGTGAGCAACGATGACGACGTGGCTAAGCAACGGCAGCAGTGGCAGCAGGTTGAGAGAGAGGAAGAGATGAGATTTTTGTCCGGCGATGGATTTGAACGTAGCAAAAATACTTCTAATTTGGGAGGAAGTAAATTGGGGTTACTGGATTTACTAATTTGCCCCTAATGAAACGTTATTGAAACAAGCTGAAACATTATTGAAACAAATTTTATGCGGCAATTCCTTTGATAATTCTTTTTTAACTAAAAATCAAAATAAATCTTTTTAATTCTTTTTTTTTATAATGTAGAAATTATGTTATAACTAAATTTTCAAAACAATTAAAAATAATATTTTATTTTTGTTGTTGAGTTTTCAAAAATAATTTTGTATTTTTAATATATATTTTTAAATAATTTTCTATATTTTGCTACGGAAACATATTTCGTAACTACTTGACTACGGAATTTTCCGTAACCAAATATCTATGGATTTTGATTTCGTAGCTATTTTGCAAATTCATCATTTTGTAACAAATTCCATAATAGATTAGCTACAAAATTTTATTTTGTAGCAAATTTTCCTAGTAAAATAGCTACGGATCCTAATTTCATAGCTAACTAGCTACGGATTTTTATTTTTTAGCTAGCCAATTATGTAGCCAACTAGCTACATACATGGATTTTGTAACAAGTTTCATAGAGAACTAGCTACGGATTTTAATTCCGTAGCAATTATTCAAGATTTAGCTACGGAATGCAATTCCGTAGCCATTTTCGTAGCAAATTAGTTACAACAAACCATTTTGTAACATATTTCGTAGTAAAAGAACTATGAATTTAGACTCCGTAACAACTTTATGTAGCTATTTAATATTTAGCTACATAATGCAAATCCGTAACCATTTATGTAGCAAAATAGCAACGACAAGTCGTTCCGTAGCATATTCCGTAGTAAAATAGCAACAGATTTTGTTTGCATAGTAACTTTCCGTAGCTATTTAGGATTTTTCTTGTAGTGAATACGTCTAAAAATGATGAAGCAAATCAAAATAAAATTAAAGTTAGGCTTCAAAATAATAATCTTTAAAAATTAAATTTTAAAAAGATTAATCTAATGTTTTATTCGGGTTCTTTAGATAATTAACAGGAATTAGAGGAAAAAAAATAACCGAACCCAAACCGAATATTATTATCCTTGTGCGGTTACCCGGAACCAAATTAATTACCCGAAAACTCATAACGCGAACCAAATAACTCTAACTCAAAACCGGTGATACCAAACCGAGGCAGGGGTCGAAGAGATGATGACTTCACTTCATATGTCCAAATTAAATCGAAAATGGCCACATTTGAGAGTGGATGATCATTTAGGGAAAAAGATCTTAAACATTTTTTAAATACCTATATTTTAGGAAGATATATGATTAATTTTGTTATTATCTCTAGATTTTTAATCATATTAATTATATATACAATTGAAAGAGAATGAACAGCAAAGTTCTGTTCCAACCGATATTGACAGGTTGTATGATATATAATAGTTTTTTTTTTGTAATGTGTTTTGATATTTTGATCAATTACTTTTCCATTGTTCTCAACATGTTAATTAACATGTCTTAGTTTTTGAAAATGGAGGTGGAATTCAACCACGCAACTTTCAGAGTTTTAGTTATAGGGTTTTGAGATAAAAATAAATTAGCAATAACATGTAACACTTCATCAACCTAATTATCAAAGCTTCACTCATAGCTATTTAAGGAAAAAATGTTACATAACATGATTCCAACCCCACTTAATTTGGTCCAAATTCGCACAAAAAAAAAAAAAAAAAAAAAAAAAAAATCTTCCAAAAAGTTGTTTCTAAGCTTCTTCAATTCATTACATGAACCCTCAAACTTCGACAATATCAAAAAAATATTACATGGAATTTAAACACTTCGATCTCACTTACTTATATCTAACGTGAACTGTAAAAAAAGATTCTGAGAAGAAGTTATAACTGAATCACGCCACAAAGCTTTTTATAGTAAATAATCCAATGACCCTGGAAACATCCTCCATGTCCTGGTGAGTTTAGCTAGCATGATCCAGGAGGGTTTTGGTGGCCAACTCCGGGGCTTGGTCCTGTACATGTTGGCCTATAAGCTCGTGTTTCATACTTCTTGTAACGATTGAACTTAAGCCCCTGTACAGATGGTGGCTTGGGCATAGGTGGTGAATACGTCGGCATGGCTGGAGGAAGGATATTTCGCATTCTTGACGCTTCTAATGAATATATATCATGAGATACGATCAAAACAAGCATCCAAAGACTTAGCAACGTCATGGTGGATGAAGCCTATAAGCTCTTAAAACAAGGTATATATGCAACACTCACTTGGAAATGAAAATATGAAATCTTAGTCTCTCATACGATTTTATTTATATGCAATTTGAAAGTTTGCGAACATGGTTTTAATTAATTATTCGAAGTTCTCAACTATATACTTATACTGATTTTATATTTATAATGATGGTTTTGAAGTAAATATTCCTTCCCTAATAGAGTACCACATGCTGATCTTTGTACGCATTTATAGTCC